AATCGGAGGTAGAAGCCCCGGTCGAATACAATGACTGCTTTATCGATTACATGTTATATGTCAAAACGTCGATAATGATGTTTAATCGGGAAGTAGTGTTCGAAGATGTGATCGATAAAGCAGTTGTTGTATTTAACCGGAGCTTCTACCTCTGATTTATGCTAATCAGCCATTGAACAACCGGCCCTTAATTGAATATCAAGAATGATAGGACAAAATTTCTCACACAAAGTAAACAAAGCCGAAACTGTTAACACAGCCAATTTTCTTAATATTAAATATTCTGATAGGAAACGTGGGTTAAAGGCCGTTTAGACCATGACTGGTTAATTTTAACTCGCGTTAAACGTCTTTATGGACGTTATCAACTCCCTGCATATAGCGTGTGATCGATAAAGCAGTCGATGTGTTTAACCGAAGGAAATACCTGATTAGCACAAATCGGAGGTAGAAGCTCCGGTTAAATTCAACGACTGCTTTATCGATCACATGTTATATGCATGATGTCAAAAACGTCGATAATGGAGTTGGGAAGTAGGGACAACCAGACATTGAACAACCGGCCCTAAGTGTTAACTAGACGTGGAGTAAACGGGCCTAATTGTGTTAAACTTTAAAAACACATACATATGTATGAATGTATGTATATGATTAATAAATAGAACTAATAAAGAAAGGTGATTTTTGTAAAAGTATGAGGCCGGTTACTCAATGTCTGGGACACAATAGACCCAGCGGTCGCAGTGCCTTACCCAACCAACTATCTACTCAATCTCTGGTTAACATAATCTGCGGATAAACATCGTTATCGACGTCTTCGGCTGCATGCATATAAAAGGGAGACGTTAACGTCGATAACTATGTTTATCCGGCGATTAGTGGTAAGCAGACATTGAGTAAACGGCCCTAACACTAACTGCAGGTTAAACTTCGTTATCGACCCCCTGTTGTACGTTACGGAACCGATAAGTTCGATAACTATGTTTAGTTAGTGTTAACCAGACATTGAGTAACCGGCCCTAAGTGAATTTCAGTGGACTTAGGGCCAGTTGTTCAATGTCTGGTTATCACTACCTCCCAGTTAAACGATTTCGACATAATGCATATAATATGTGATCGATAAAGCAGTAATTTTATTTAACCGGAGCTTTTACCTCCGATTTGTGTTAACCAGACATTGATCTACCAGCCCTTAGAGTTTCTGAGGCGTTGTTTACTTTTATTTGAGAATTTTCAAATCGGCAAAACCAAAGTAGAGGTTACCTCTAATATTGTTGTGGACAAATCAATTTTGAGAGGCCAGATATGAACCGATTTCAAATTTCTTTTTTCTAAGTAAAAGAAAATTAAATTTCTCGTCGATCTATTCGTGGCGATTTTTTAAAAAGCTCTAGTTTTTTATTAATTTATGTTGAAAAATTAAAAAAAAATTACGTTTGAATACTTCCACTTTTTTGAAAAACACTTAAAATTAATTTAAAATCCCTTTTTGATAGAATACATTTAACTAAAAATGTATCTATACTAATATATATTTTGAAAGGCGTTTTTTCTGTTCCTAACACTCGGGAACAGCTGTACAGATTGTTTTTGAAATTTTGGACACCTACTCCAGACCCTCCAAGGAGACAATAAATCAAAAATAATTTCGATATATCAAGGGAGTGTGGCACCTCCCGTACAAACTGCAATTTTCACACAACACATCTCTGGAAGTGTTCATGGTAAAGTGCTGCAACTTAGTAAAGAGATATATAAGATCAATGCCATACTCATAGAAAAAAATTGGAGTTATTAAAAAAGGGGGCGTGGGAGATGCCCATACAAACTGAATTCCTCATACCACACACACATTCTAGAAACCTGAAATCGTTTCATATTTGGGATTTCAAAATTGATTTGTCCACAGCAACCTTTTTTAGGTGTTAAAAAGGCAAAACATGCTGAAAATGCCGAAAAAGGCCAAATAAAAATTTAAATTTTTAATCAAAATACATGAAATGTAAGATTCTTTAATTTGTATAAAGATACGACCAATCAGACAAAATAGGCAAATGCCTTAAAATCCTAACCCTGTTAATAACTATTCCTTGTGGAAAAGTAATTAGGTTTTACACTTCACTGACGTGCTAAAAATGCAGCAGGTGCGTCAAGAAATAAAGTTTTTATATTTTTTAGTGATGTGTTCTGTAAACTAGGGTAAATTTGTAGTGAGTCGCGATTGGTAAGTACTTTTCGAAATCCACCACCTCTAGTTTACAGAACACATTACTTTATAGGGCTTTCGCATGAGGCGATTTTTTAGGCAACTTTTAGTTGAAAGCAAAAATCGCCTCATCCGAGCGGCCTTTCAACTAATCGCTTTCAAGAAAGTTGGTCGCCAGCCAACTTTGAGCTCGTTCAACTTTTTTTCCTTGCAACCCTGTGTTTGTTTACATTCTGTATCAGTGTTGGGAGGTGAAATTGTTCCTTCAGTACGAAATCTATACAAAAAATTTACTTTTCGGCTATAAATTGTATACACTTTTTAATTCGCTCATATATTTTCTTAGTACAATCCCTTCAAGACCAATGATTTTATGGTATTCATGAGAAAGTTTATGTATATACGTTTACGTATTTTACACTTTTACAAATTGATTCCACGTGCACATGTACTGCATTTAACGCAAATATAAGATAAAAGACATTTTCCTTGGATTCAGTACTAAAATTTGACATTTTAATAGCATTTCAAGTGCTTATCAAAACTTTACGAGAAGATTTGACCATTTATCTTAATATTATTCAATTTTAATTATTTTTTGTAAAAATACGGTTTATATTTTAATAAAAGCCGTACAAATCCAAGGTTCAAACTTAGTGCAACATTAAAAAAAAACCAACACACTTTCGTAAAAATTTCGAGCTTTTTAATTCGATTTCCTAGACTTATTTTGAGTGTGCGGTTTTTTATCCCATTAAATTTTAATATAACTAAGTTTTTTAAGACTTCTTTGATGAAGGTGTTGCTAATTTTCTCCATACGAAAAATCGTCGAACACACTTCGTATGGAAGAAAATGGCTGACATCGTCGACAAAAAAAATTGCCAAGTTCAACGGTAAGTCCCAGCTACTTTAAACTTGCACTTTATTATACTAAAATTGAATGGGATAAAAACTAAAGAATATTAATAAAGCTCGAAATTTTTACGAAAGTATGTGGGTTTTTGGATGTTTCGCAAAGATTTAATCTTGGGTTTATAAAATTTTTCTTAAAGAATACATTATATTTTATAAACAGGTAATTAAAATTAAAGAATAATAAAATAAATAGTAAAACCTTGTCAATATGTGAGTGCCGTAAAAGTATTATATTTAAGAAAATCTCTTCTTATAACTAACGAAGACTTTGTTTCTATATGAAGCTGACTTCGACATTTTGTTTTAATAAAACTTAGTATCGAAAAGTTTCTTTAAAAATTTGCCTAGGCTATATTATACTGGTTCGTTCAAGCCATTTTTCAAAACTTACAAAGGTAAATACCAACAGGCGAACAAAAGAGAATACAAAAAATTTCTTGCTGTGAATTTTCAGAGCTATATATTTTTAGTATTCATTACAAAATTGTACTAAAAAGTACTGCGGAGTAGGAAAGTATATTGTAAATGAAATTGTATCAAACAAGTACAATTGTACCAAAAATGTCAACACTGTTCTGTATACATACTTTTTTTCTTTTTTACTTTTTTACTCTTATTTTACCTTTCAGCTTCGCTACAAGCACTTCTACCAATGCTTGGCTTACCAAATTTACGCCAATTGATAAAATTTTGCGATTTAAATTCATTTTCAATAATGTAAAGAACGATTCGTGTTGAATCGAAAATAACCTCGTTTGAATAGGGATGGCAACTTTTTCACTTTCAACTTCTCATTCAACTTCGTATTCAACTTTTGTTGCCTGGAAAATCGCCTCGTGCGAATGCCCTATTAATGAGGGCATGTCACTGGAGGTAAGAGAGAAATTTAAAAAATGCAGGTAATGCAATGGGTAAACGAGAAAGTGAAAAATTTTGTCTTGAGGCGTATTGTAACGCGTTACTCCATCGATACAAAAAGTAAGCGCTTACCAAAAATATAAGTTTTTGCTGGGAGGTTAAATAAATTTGGTTAGTACAGCATCTACTGGAGCAACTTTAAGACTACGTTTATTTATTGTTGTTTGTGTGAAATATTTTATTTTTATCAGTATTTTTCTTAGAATGAAACTTTGTTAAAATAAAAGTAAAAAAAAATAAAAATTTTGTCAGAAGCGCCCCCTCCCCCCTTACTGTTAACGTTATCCAAAAGCGAAAAATTAAAAGCAAATATCCGGTCTAACCGGTTTTTTTCTGAATTCGAAAATTAAAAGCCGTTTTTTTCAAATTGCCTTTTTTCGAATAACTCGAAACCCAGTGTTTGAACAAAGTCGAATAAATGAACACCCAAGGCGTGATTCAAAGAAAAATTTGTTTTCACCTCCTCACGTCCCAAAGCTTTTGACCAGATATGTACATACAGTGCGCGTAAGTTACTTAGACGCATGCACAAGCATTTGCATTCACATTTATATTTCAAACAGTTATTGTTAAAAGATTGTTTATTTTAATAATCAGTACCCCAATAATAATGCTTATCGCCAATTCTACGGGAACAAATTGTTCTCATAATTGATCACCTAGTATTCGCGAATGTATTTGCGTAAGTCCTGTTTCGTGCAGAAAATAACAAATTCCAAAAGCTGCAACACACGCTAACACTTTATAGAATTGCCACACACGTTTCTTACGTGAGTAGCTGTTTTAGGCGCATGCAGACAAACAAATAAAGTTAACTGTTAAGTGATGCTTAGAAAAAATTCAAAGACTTTTTAAAAATGTTTAAGGGTTTTAAAAAATGTAAATCAATTTGAGCGGCAATAATATAAACTATATGCACTATTTTAATATATACACTGTTATTTGTATATATTTTCAGGCTCAGCTATCTCATGGCTTTCCATACACAGATAGAAGAGTGGAATATGGTAGTACACTAACAGGAGGAACCACACATGGCGGCCGGTTAGCTCATGACCATGATCCCTTAGCCCTACATCAAGCGCTACAGAATGCCGTTGACGATGTCCAAAATCCCGGTATAGATGACAATGTTACATTTATGTCGGACCTACCTCTAATAAAAAGTACGTAATAATTGTATTTTCTAGTCTCTGTCATATCTGACTTTCTTTATTGTACATTGAGGTTGTTCACGCTTGCCTGGCTATCAGCTTATATGGAGACTCTAACAATTTTTTTTTTTTAGTAACCCAGGGTATTATGCTAGGCGCTTGTTTATAACACCTGATTCATGTGAAAAAGACATTTAATAAAATGAAAATAACACAAAAACCAATGCCATTTTATAAAACTTGTCGCTACTTACCTACTGGAAATTTAAATGCTATTTTTGTATTTAAATAAGATGATATCCGCACAACCTTACAGTCTTGTGCTTGAACGCTCTCAATATACGCACATGAGCAAATCTCACGAGTTGTTATTTTGGTGGCACTTCCTCCTATCGGCAAAATCGGCTAAAGCATTATTGTTGCGTCTGTCAATGTTATTGTGGCTTGTTAACATTTAATTTTCATAGTTTTATTGAGCTTTGTACCACGTTGCACGATGTGCAAAGTCAGAAGCGTTAAACAGCGGCAAATCAGCTGCACTTGATAACAGTAGGTTGAATATGGAAGAAGTAATTTTTAGCAAAAAAAAGCCGACTTAAAAAAAAATATATATATATATATATTTCATGATCCAATGATCGGATCTAAACCACCGCTTAGACTTTGTTGCTTTTTCCATTTTTTCTAATAAAATAATCGTGGTCCCCATTCTTCTTGCATTTATTTCAATCAATGAAATTCCTGAAAAATGTACAATAAAAAAATAAATAAAGTATTTGAACCATTTTAGCTTTAAAACGTTTATTTAGGCGAAAAAGTACCGCAATTACAAGTCTTTACTTTGTTACTCGAAAGGATCATAATTGTGTTTTTTAATAACTTTGGGAAGTCCTCAATTAGAATGTAGAATTAGAGTAGGGCTGCCATAATCCTGAACCCATCGACCAGGACAGTTATCCTCCAAATCAAAAACGAAGATACAAGTGAATGTGGTGGCAATATATTCCCTATAAGTACAGTTTCTTTGGTTCTGGCGTTGCATTATTTTGAAGTCATTTCTGATATTATAAGCAATGTGGTTTTGTGGCACAATCCGTAGAGCTGAATGATTGATGATGATGAAACGCTGCACAGTGGTCAATAAATGGGATTTAATGTTCATAATTGACTGGAGTCTTCATTTCCCAAACAATTTGATATTTTTTTTTTTTAGTGAAAGCTAATAAAATTTGCAAGAGACTGGTTGAGCCCAATTTTCGAATTTTTATTTGTTTATATTAAATTTTTTAGTGCAAAGTGCAGAAAATGCGCCAATTTTGAAGAAGACCGATACTCCTGTTCCAGCCAATAAAAGTTTCATAATAAAAACTAGTTAAAAACAATTGTAGGGTTCTCCCAAAACAAAAAATAAAATAAAAAGTAATAATCTGAAATTTTATAAAAAAAATTTTACCAAAAGTATTTTTTTTTGTTTTTAGTTTTTATACAAATTTTGGGTGTGCAGTTTTATAGATTACTACATTTTAGTATAATAAAGTGCAAGTTGTAAGTCGCTAAGAGTTCGCGTTGATTTTTAATAAAGTAAAAAACGCTTTCATTTCCTATGTAGAATGCAGATGTGCTCGAAATGTTAACGAAAAAATTATTAAAAATCAACGCGAACTCTTGGCGACTTGCAACTTGCACTTTATTATACTAAAATATAATTATATATAAAACTGCATACCCAAATTTTTTATAAAAACCAAAAACAAAAAAAAATATTTTTACTAATAATTTTTATATAACTTATCAAATTATTACTTTTTCATTTTGGGAGAAACCTAAGGTTGTTTTTAACTAGTTTTTATTATGTATCTTTTTTTAACTGGAACAGGAGAATCGATCTTCTTCAAAATTGGCACTTTTTCTGCACTTTCCACTAAAAAATTTAATATAAAAAAATAAAAAATAAAAACTTGGGCTCAACTAGTCTCTTGAAAATTTTATTAGCTTTCATTTAAAAAAATAATTAATTAAATTGGTTGAGAAATAAAGGCTCCAGTGAATTATGAACATTAAATTCCATTTATTGACCACTGTGCGCTGGTGCTCTGAATTTTTTTTTATCATAAAAGAACAAATTCCTCTTGACGGTGAAGTAACTTGGAAAAATGTTCGTGATCATTTTTGCCATTATGTATGTGCATAACCTGAAGATAATTTAGGTAAATTGTCTTAAGTGAAGCCATTCTAAAAGACTTACCCAAGAAGGACTGAAAAATGTCCTTCCCTGCATGCTTCTTAGAAAGGTGTTTCCTATTTACAATTTACGCGAATGCACTATATATGTATTTGTTTATATTATTTAGCATTACAAATAAGGTTCCACAAGCATTTTAAGCCTAAATAAAACATATTTGATATGAGCCTTAAATAAATTCCTTAAAGAAGTATGATTTTTATGAATTAAAAAAAAAAAACTTATTCCAAAGGCGCCCTACAAAAGCCCTTCTGGAATAAGGATGGAAAAGCCGCACGCAGAATCGATTATTGACTTCAGAAACGACTTTCTGGTTTTCGATTCTCAAACTCGATTAATCACCTGTGATTGTGGACCTTATGACTTAAATTGACTCTAAAAATTTACAAAAAAAATAACGCCGTGCGACAGTCACGCACGAAAAAATCAATATATTCACAAAACTGGGGGCCAAATATAGTAAAACTGCGTTTTTAGTTTTACTCTCTGACGTCAGGATTTTTTTTTTAAAGGACGTTGAAATTTCGATAGTATGATTGAATAAAAATATTATTCAAAAAATTCGATGCATTGAAGAATAACAATATGGGTATCAATTAAAAGGCAAAATTCTGTAGAATAAAAAAACAATAATTTTTGGGTGCACCAGGAAAAATACGTATTGAAAATATCCCTTTTAAAACTTTTTCTTTGAACATCCGTGGAAATTTTCAATATTTATTTTTGTAAATAATATATGTCAAGGATTAATATGTTAACTACCACATCCTCGAATTTCGTCCTTCCAACTGTATTAGTTTTAGATAAAAACAATTCTCTTTATAAGAGAACAAACATCGATGTCAAAAAACATCGGTTATATATCGATGTTTTACCGATGTTTTATTTTATTTATTTATTTATTTATTTTTTTCCTTTACATAGTAACAAGTTAATATATAAAGTCTAAAATTAGCAGCACTAGCATCATAGGCCATCGGCTGTCTCTTGTAATGAATATTGGTTTATTAGAACTTAGGACTAGGATATAGAAAGCTAAATATTATTTAAATCCGTCTTAGCAGGTCATTAGCTCTGAGAAAGTGGTATATTGTTCCTATGTTGAGTTTCGATGGTTCTTTTAGACATTCAATAGGATTAGAGAGTGGGAAGAATGAATTTCTTGAAGATGTCAGGTTCGGGCAAGTTGTTAAGATATGCTCTACTGTTGCACTTTCGTCACATAGCGGACAAACGTTGGGTGTTAATCGCTGTAGCAAGTGTGCATGAGTTAGAACGTATGCCCGAGGCGTAGTCGGATGTACGGCTTTAACTCTTTGAGATGAATATCTGACGCGAAAGTCGGCTTCTTCCTGTGCGGGTTGACGATTGCATAATGGTGAGAGTACAGTTGCCATTCTGCGAGTAAAGAATCACGTCGCCGTTTGTTAACTTCGCGTAGTACATCTTGCTTAGTAAAATAGTTGTATGCAAATGATGAAGTTTTTGCAACGAGTTGTGCTGCATTGTCAGCAGACTCATTACCCGCGATGCCAACATGTCCTAGAATGCACATGATTTTGATTTTCCTCGGAGATCGTGTTATACTATTCCGAAACGAAATAATTTCTTTTCCATGCTTTGTTATATCCCCATTTTCTTTAGTGACCGCAAATGCCGTTGTGTCGGGCGTTTTGGAGCCATCCCTAAAGATGAAGTTCCATCCAAGATTTGAAAACTTTGCTTTTTCAGCGTTAAAGATGGCTCGGTAGGTCTCTTTGGCTGTACTCTCTTTCGAAAGCTGTAGCGCTTTAATTGAAAATGCGATATTTTTAATCATACAAGACGGTTGAGTTTCTGCGCATGGCTGCTTCACGGTTAGTGGTAGTTCAAGCTGCTTGCAAAGATCGACGCATTTCGACACGACTGATAAAATTTTAGGTTGTCTTTTTCTGGAGGCCGCATTGTTAAAGTCTTTTATGAGGTTTGCAGAGAAGACGGATGTACAAAGCTTTTTTTTGACGATAAGTACTTAATTACATTTAATCTTTTAGTTATACTATCTCTAACATATTTACAATGTTCTTTAAAGTTATGTTTCGTGTCTACGATTAGGCCTAGAATACTAATTTCTGATACAGAACTGATTGTTATGCCGTTAAAATTAATTTTTAATCCAATGCAACTACGTTTTCTGCATATATGCAGAGTTTGGGTTTTTTGGTACGATGTAGCGGCTCCTGATAATACGGACCATTCTGTAATTTCTTTCAAAATATTTTCAAATTGGCTAGCGACAATTGTAAGGTCTGAGTTCTTGGTATAAAATAACACGTCATCCGCGTAAAGTTGACATTCTATACCGTGATAATTAGAGGCTATCTGTGCGATTTAATCAAACGTAATAGCAAAAAGAAATGCTGAAAGGGGTGACCCTTGTGGAGTGCCATTAGCTAGGGGTTTGGTGGATGAGAGGAACCCATGTTTTAATATCTCATCTACTACACGAAATAAAATGTAGCCTGAAATATTTTTTAAACTCGAAAGAACTAGATTCACATATCCGCTACAAACCATAACTTTATACAAAACTTTGAAAAATTCAACACATTTTTATCTTAATTTTGAACTTTTTTATCTGAATTTTTAGAAAAAGCCGTTAAAAAATCGCCTTGATTTTTAACCTTTTATATGAAAAAAACGCAAAAGCCGCCACTAATTAAAAATCAAAGCGATTTTTAGCCGCTTAAAACTTGCACCTGTTTTATTATAATGATGTATCTCAAATATG